GTGTGTGTGTGTGTGTGTAGGGGGGGGGGGGAGTTATCAGATTGGAATCAGGTGGAGCAGAAGCAGATACAACAAAAGGTGCAAAACGAAGCAAAGGAAGCGGCGAAGAAGCGGCGGTGCTGAAGCACCTCCGGACGCGGTCAAGAGGCACGTTTGTTCACATTATCAGCAAACGTAACACAGACACACACACACACACCACACACCGACATGTGAGCCGCACTCACAGGTAGTTGTAAGGGAAGTGTGTGTGCTTTTCCTGCGGAGGAGATTTAATTTAAATTTACCGTTTTAAAAAAAAAAAAAGAAATGCAAGTTTAATGTCAGGGATGAATGTGATCCACTTAAACAGCCAGGTGTGAACAAAGTGGCGTGTTGATACCTGATACGAATTTGAAGGGGAAAAAAAAGTGTTTAACCACATTCACCTGCACTTTTCTCCCATTCTTCTTAGACTCWGAAATTTGCCTCGTCCGTGTAGGAGTGTAATGACACCAAGTAATGACAGCTTAAAAGCATACTGCAGGTGGTTTTAAGCAACGGTGCGATGCTCTGCCATTACGGTGATTTCTGTGTAACATAGTGGGCAATGAAGTAACAGATGACCCCTCTCACCTGGTGATAAAAGAAAAGGACATCCATATTGTTTAAATACTACGCCTGTTATAAGGTGTAGAYGGGGGGAGGGAGGTTGCTGAGTCACACATCACAAATAAATAGTTGCTGAAGGAGAGGGAGTGCAATATGTTCAGACAAGTTAATTTTTGGCAGGTTTTGATGCCGTYGTCTAAATACCACGAGCATTATAGTGAAGCCCGTTGGTGCCGGTTTGGACATGTCAACTTTGTTAATGTAAATATCAGGGTGYGAGCTCCTTTCACTTAGTGTTTTTAACTGTGTGTGGGCTACAGAGCACTATCAGCATWAGTTAGGAGTGTAAACGTGTGGCGTTTTGCCTGCAAGAGTTAGTTCAAGTCCTTTTAAAAGCCTAACAATAGTTTCTTAACGCATTTTTCAAGATTGTGTTCATTGGTTCATGTTTTAGATTTGTGGAGTAGTAAAATACAACAAAGGTCATTGAATGTCATGGGTAAAGATTAGACAGAAGACGTCAGACGAGAAGGGTTAGGGTGGTGGATGCATCTAACTCTTTGAACAACCTCAGTTTAGAGAAACAGTTTAGAGAGACAAACTAACGCAGTCTTGATAAAAGTATTGCTGCTATCTTAAAACATCCCCCTTCTTTACATATTTTTTATTTTACATAGAAGTTCACGTGAATGCTATTTTATAGGCCCCTAAAACACCGTCAATGTCACAATAAACAGTTATTTGATATAATTATGTGGTTATTTAGCTAACTATTGTACTTCCAATGTAGCCTGGATTATTTTCAGCCTCCTGCCAAAATATTCACGTAACACAAAATTGATGGTRGTGTAAGGTTGAAATGATAGTGTTTGCATTTGGAGCACTGGAGTTGTTACACTTTTGGAAGTAGGTCTCTTTGAACACAGTTTGTCAACTGGTCCGAGCAAACCCATTTCTAAAGCAGATTTTATTGTCTTAAAATTTCCAAATTTTTATGGTGCTTCATAAAAACATTATTTTATCAACTTTTACTCTTGCAATCAGTTTTGCATCACATGGTTTTGCTGACTGTAATGTAACATTTYAGCAGAAAAAGGACCCCTTTCTATGTAAGAAGCGCTACAGCTAGCTGCTTCTGCTGCCATTTCTGCTTGCAAATGACCCCAAAACTCCATTAACGTAACTGTGTAATGAGAAACTGACCACACTCTGAAGGTTCTCAATGAACCTATAACATTTAGAGAAAAGAGTTGTTTTTGAACAGCCGCCCATTGAGCTCAGCTGTGTTTAAACTAGCCATTAGCTGGTTAGAAATAGGCTAATATTTCACTCAGGTGCAATTGTTGGCCAGAAATTGAGGACATTTRTTTGGGACCCATATTGATTTTTGGTAATTCTAAGCTTAGAACAAAAATTTGGGAAATTTGTGTTTGGTAGATTATTTCTTTGTTGTAATAATGTTTCTTGGCAATAAATCTTATACCGTTGGAAAGCTAATTAATTTCAAGTAGGGGTCTCTGCAGTACATAGGGGGAGTTTCTTGGCTGTGTGAGCAGAGTTTGTCCTAATGGTGATTGGCGGAGTTTTCCTAACTGTGATTGGTGAAGGTTCTTTGGTGTGGGTGGAGTTTTCCTAACTGATTGGTGAAGGTTCTTTGGTGTGGGCAGAGTTTTCCTAACTGTGATTTGTGAAGGTTCTTTGGTGTGGGCGGAGTTATCCTAAATGTGATTAGCGTAATTTGTCTTAACCACGATTGGCAGATGTTCTTGGGTCTGGGCAGAGTTTGGCAAAACCGTGATTGGTTGAACTGACTTGTCTTGTGGGAGAAGGTAAAAGATAAAGTAAAAGTAT